GAGTATTTTTAAGCACCTAAGTAAAATAACAACTAAAAATGAGCTTTTTCAAAAAATCTTTTTCGATGAAATTACCTTTGCTCGTGTACAGGTAAGGTCAACGTTTTACGAATTTGTGTGGATTTTTTTAACTTCAAGCCAATAATCGGATTCCATTTACCAATAATAATAAAACAAGAAAATTATTGTTCAACAGTGCCAAGCTGCAAGAGGAACGGCGTAGGTATCGCAGATTGGAGTTCGTTAAACTTTTCATCGTTTCATTATTCGCAGACTTGCCTAACGACTCCCACGGGACGTCGCGTCTTGCCTTGTGCTCCTAGGCCGATTACGCGACTGGTAGTAGTCAAAGGGTTGCCCACTTTACAGTTTTCCTTGTTTGTCTTTGTATTCTCTTGTTTGCTGCTCGAGTGCAAACAACTTCCGACGTAAAATTAATGAAATGGAATTTTTTCTTTGCCGGAATGATAGTTTTTCCGACGAGTTGTTTATTGCCAGACATCCCACATTAGAAAAAGTGTGGACTCGGGATATTTCTCGACAGACTTGCATGATATACTTGTTCGATGGAACGATATATCAAGATTCATCCACTGTCCAGCAAAAGTCGTTAGATAGAAGTCCATAATTGCTCATTGCTCTATCGCGGCGGTACTCCAGAGGAGAGTCGGAAGTTTTTCGCGCGCCATTCACCCAGTTCATCGAATTACACGCGCTCTCGCGCGGCGCAACGGCTGCGGAGGCGCCGCGGTGGCGTCGTCGGCCGTAACCGTAAATTCTTAATCCGAATCGGCGCGTAAAACTGAAAGTTAAGCAAGTTCGGCGGGTCTTTCGGGTCGAAAGACGTCGCGCGGAGGAGAGCAGGGGGCATTAGCCGTAACAATGCTGCCGCCGCCTACCGCTCTCCCGTAAGTTCTTACGGTAACGATGCTGTAACGGCGAGCGCGCAATTCCTCGCGATAAAGTTAGCCGAACGATTGGACCCGCCAAGAATTAAACTTGCCGGGAGGGCTTGCGTTTGTTCTCGCCGCCACGCCGCGGGACTAACCCCTTCTTGACGCCGCCGTGAATTCGTCGAATAAGAATTGCAATTGCCTCCCTCCTCCATTCTCTCTCTTTGTGCAACTCTTTGCTGTGTTACCTCGAATCTTCTCTTTTAATTGAGATGTCTGTATGACGAGAATTCTCTTTGTTTTCAAGTAGACGTGGTTAGCGAATTTTGCTATCTATTCTCAGAGCAGTTGCATTTGTTGACTTATGCCGCGCTCATAGTTTTTGTACAATGTGCTGCAAAGTCATCCGCTATATCAAAAGCTTATTGTCAAATTAACAAGTCGCATCAGTACGGTGAATGTGTTACATTTCATATTTCTTACAACAATATTTTACTTATTATTCCGAGGGCATCGTTGAAGTAAATAGAAAATTCTTATGATAAAATAAATTTTTAATTCTAGTCAGTTGTTTAGGTACAACGGATCAATATCTTTCCTCGAATTTTCATCGCAAAGGGTTAAATATTTAGAAACGAATCCGACAAAATAATTACCAGGGATTACCTGGCTGCATCAGTCAAAACGTAACAAAAGGTTCGGTATTCACTTGCTGCCGCCCCCCGCCCGAGCATTGAGAAGCCACAATCGTGGTGTGGGAAGCGCGATCCGCAATTCCGTAAATGGGGCTGTTTGAACCTCGAAACAAAAGATGTAATAATTCTACTCCGCTTTCCACCTCAGCCTTTACTTCACCCCTTTCCCTCGCAGTGCGTTTCTCTTCTTCCGTTATCTCTCTCTCTCTCTCTCTCTCTCTCTCTCTCTCTCTCTCTCCTCTCTCTCTCTCTCTCTCTCTCTCTCTCTCTCTCTCTCTCTCTCTCTCTCTCTCTCTCTCTCTCTCTCTCTCTCTCTCTCTCTCCTCTCTCTCTCTCTCTCCTCTCTCTCTCCCTCTCTCTCTCTCTCTCTCTCTCTCTCTCTCTCTCGTTGTCGCAGATTTGATGTTTTTATCTTGAATCTGTTAGTCTGTCTGCTTCATTCTTCAGATTCCGATTTCGAAACGCGGAAAAATGTATTATTATTTTTTTCTTCGCCGAACGGTCGTCATTGTTGGCAAAATGATTGAAACAACCCGAATGATACCGTGCGTCGTGTCGCTTTAAAACCTTGGCGAACGAAAGTGTATAGGAGTCAATAGCCGCGGTATGAATGAGCATCACATTGATAAATGGATTCTCATGGCTCATAATGAATTCATAGAATAAAATCTCCGCGGGGGGCGGGGAGGGAAACGTCAAGAGCTCGCGCCACGGCGGCCAAAAGGGAGTCGGCGGCATTGTAAACATTTTAATTAAAGCCCACGCAAGATATTTAATTTCGAATAATTAATGGTTCAACGGCAGCTTCCGAAATTTCCCTTGCCCCATCCGTACCTCTCTGTGTCTTTGTCGCCAGGACGGAAAGTCGCTTAGCGCGCTCTCTTTTTCTATCTCGATTATCCTTAATTTCATTACGGCGATTCAGCGTTATTTTCGTGCTTTGCTCGAATAATTTGATTAATTATACTTTCGCGCTCGTTCAAGATTCAACGCGATCGCGGGGGGAGCCTCTATTTTATTCCGGGTCGAGCCGCGGAAAAATTTTATTTCGGTATATATCGATTACGTTTGGAGGCGAGCCAACCGAGCGAAACAGTTATTCAATCGGCTCTCAATTACCTCTAGGGAAATGTCAATGCAGCGCAGACTGACAGTCGTGTATCGCGGGACTCGCTTAAACGTTTGACGTGACGCAAGCGAGCGTCACGGAGAGATAAAAGAAGGACTCGTCGACGTGGAAAACTGAAAAGCGGTCGCCACGACGCTCGCCTACACGAATGAAAAGGACTGGGCACGGCGACGCGATGCTCGATTTGCGCACGGCCTTGGCAGTTCTCCCGAAAACAGAAGGGAAGGAGGTCGCGGTTCTTGCGCGTGGCGCCACCTCCGAGGAGTGAGACAATGGGCTCACCGGATTCAATAAAACCGCAACAATGAGGGAGAAAATACCGAGGCAAGAGAAAGGTACGAGCACAGAAGAAAAGGGGGCGACTGCTGCATCTCGTCGCCAGGGTGATTTGAATGAAGAGATAGAAGACAATGAGAGAAAGTGAGGAGGAGGAAAGGAGGAGGAAAGGAGAATTGGCGCGCGCGTGCGAGAGAGAGAGAGAGAGAGAGAATGAGAGAGAAACAAACGTCGAATCGAATTAGCACTGAACACAGGGGGTGGTTCGGCTGTTTGTGTAATTATATTTACAAGTGGTGCCCCTCGCAAAACAAAGACTCGACCAAGAATGCTCAATTCATTGGGCTTATTATTGCGCGCGCACGGGAGAATGTCGGCCAGCGACGTTCGCCGCTCGCGCGTTCCCTCTACTTTTGTGCGCGCCCGTTGAAAGATGTTTTCCGAGCGGTGATGAAGAGCGGAACGATGATATTTCTGATTTATTGACGTTTGTACGGGTTGTCAAATGAACACCCGGGGAAACGGCGTCGGCCACTTTCTCGTTTTTTCGCGCTCTCGTCAAGGGCTTCCTGTATATCACTTTTTTCCGTTTTAATTTCTGAAGCCACGCAAGAGCGCAAACTCGTTCGCTCGTGTACCGTTTCGCGTTTTCGCCGCACGTGCGCAGGAGCATTTGAAAAACTGAAAACGTATTCTAATCTTGTAAATTTCGAATAAAATTGTCGCCTACTGAAACTTATTCGCATGTATTTCACGTTAGACCGGCTTCTTAGTAGGAAACCCTTCAAGCGAAACGGTACAAAGCGAAATGAAAAGATAACTCGAATGCTTTGACTACCTGCAAGATACATGGAAGCGTGCGCCGGTGTGTGTGCGTGTGCGTGTGCGTGTGCGTGTGTGCGCGTGTGCGCGTGCACGGGAGCAGAGCAGGGATGCGAGGGCCACTCTTCTGCCGCTGTCGTGTAATATCGCCGTGTATTATGACATTTTTGCCTCAAAGTCTCGGGGATGTGCATTGAAAGAGAAGTGACCGGTCAAAAGGACACGCGATGATATCGAATTTTCACGGTGGCGCACTGTCTATATTAGACTGCTATACTGCTTTCTCCCTTTGTTGCGCGAAATTTCTCAGTTTTGCTCGCGCATTTTCATTTGCCGCTTGCTCACCGGGCCAACGTTGACGTATTTTTTTTATTCGCTTGGCCACCGTTGCCCGTCTTCCAAGCGTGAAACTCTTCTTTTTGTTCATTACGGTTTGATTCGAATTTTTTGCAGGCCCCCCCTTTGATGCTCGCCACGACAAATTTCATTCGCGAGTATGGAACGCGAGGAGAGCACATTTACGTTACGCCAAAATCAGCAGCGTAACGGCTCATTCAATTATACAGTTTATGAAAGCACATACCGCCGCGCGCTACTGACGACCGTCTGCTGCACTCATAAAAGTCCGGGTGGACCATTCTTTTCCTTTCTTTACCTCCTCGTTATTTAATTATCAAAGGTTTTTATATCCTCACTACAACATATAAATTCCGCTTCTCTTTGTGAATTTTTAATTTTTTTGTTTAATGCCATTTGCAGGACCACGAAGAAAAAGACTTGAATGGCAACTTCGTGCTACGCTTCTTTTATGGATGTCTGCACCATATCGAGCACTTTACGTTTTAGTTTTGGCAATCGTAAAACTTGTATTTTACTCTGCCAAAAAGTATGTCAATGTAAAGTTTGATAGCCGCTGTGAAATTTATATTTCTTCGCCAGATGCTTCGTGTTTTTATCGAGATTGTAATTTCCGTTAGTCGAAACCCTGAAGAAAAAAAGAATTGAACAACCAAACACTCTGACAAAACATCGATCCAACAGTCCAACATAAATACACAGCTAAAAGCCAGCTTATCCGGCAGTTTTTAATCGGTCGTTAAACTTTTCATGGGCTGGGCGAGCTGCAGTTCGTGAAAAGGGTTTCCCTCGATTCTTTTCTTTCTTTTCTATACCGTCAAGTAGCCGTAAACGTCCAGTGTGCGCGTGCTGGCGCGAGAAGAGAAAGTCAGTTGACTCCTTGGCGATCGCAGAAAATATAATATCCGCGCTAAGGTTTTTAATAAACCGAGAGTCGGGTAATCAAGACGGGCGTTAAAAAAGCTTTGTTGTTTTAACGGTGGCATTTTACGCGCGCTTAAATCACACTTCGTAAGCTTTAGCGACGACTGTACTCCTTTTCGAGTGCTGCTGCTGCTGCTGCTACTGCTGCTGCTGCTGCATGCGTCGTCAAAGCGGAAGGGCAGAAAAAAAGTGGAGGGTGAAAGAGGGCGTTAAAGTTGAGCGCGAGGGCTCGCGACGGTAAGAGGAAATTGTTTTGTTGTGCGCGATTGTCGTCGTCGTCGTCGTCGTCGTGTGGCTGAAGTGGACAAAGCGCGTTATGGCGCATGAAAAAACTTCAGCTGCAGAGAGAGATAAAAAGTTGAGAAATATCACATGTAAAGATATATATTCAAAACAGTTATTTCGGTACACACTTTTTTCTGAGACAACTGTTTCATTTCTGCGAATGGTACAAGTGTTTATTACGACCTTTGTCAGGTTTAGATTTTCAGATAAGGAAAAAGTCTGATATTTGGACCGGACTTGGAGAAGACATAAAAAAAGGAAAGCACAAAAGGGAAAAATGGACCCCGACTGTGAGACTATTAGCGACAAGGTCAGTTATTATTAGTTATTTGGGACATCAGTTATTTTTATTGTATTTTTGATACAATTTACTAAGTTATCATTAGAACGATATATTTTCATAACATTAGCTTTTTTGAGTTAAAATCTAAAAAAACAATACAATTTTTCTTCTTTACGGCACTTGCAATTAAAGTTGCAAAATTTGAATAATTTTCAAATTTATAATTTATTTATTACAGCTTTGATGGATTCATAATTCGCAGATTCAAGTTCATTTTAAAATTTGTGAAGTTGTGTTTGAATTTTGTTCCACAGTCCAGCGCATTGTATCATACAGACACTTGACTTATTATTATAACCTTCTCATTTATGAGCTACTATTTCATATAATCTTCAGTGAGTAAGATATTGTTACATTTCTTGTGAGTTGAACTTTTGTTACATAAATATATCAGTTAGAATTTTATTACACGTCTGTCTTAGTTAGATTTTTGTCCAACTGATTTTCATGAACAAGACGGATCGATATATTGAAAATATTAATGATATTTTTTAGTGTATAGACCCTTAATTCTATTCCTAATTGCAAGTTGTTAGAAAAAATTCGAAAGAAATATGGATTATTTTTATAATTCTAAAAAAATATCCTTGTGCGTAATTAGCTTGATAAATATTTCAGTTTCCGCGCGTCTGTTTTCTCCCCGCTGACCCTAAAAACAAAGACATTAAAATTCTCGGTTGGTCTCTCCAGCAACCCAGTGAAAAAAAAAAGAGAAACTTGAGAGAGAGGGAGAGAGAGAGTGAGAGAGAAGAATGAATCTGACCGTAAAACAAAAATGAGCAATGCAATAGAAAAAAGCAAACGCAGAATTCTCGCTTCGCGAACAAAAACGGGGTGTGGGTGTGTGGGTTTCGCAAGCAAAAAGATGGAGGGTCCGAGCGCTTAGCGCATATCTCCACGTAAGGGATGAGAGAGAAGTAATATATAGAAATATTTTCACAAGAGTCGTACGAACGGAAAACAAAAACGCTAGGAAAAAAAAAGTTTCGGCCAGTCTTCTCCCTCTTTCCTTGGGCCGTCGTGTTGTCTGCCATCGTATTATTTCAGTCGGCGTGCATATTTCCGCAAATAAATTTAACGAAAACAATTTTTAGCGCTTTTAATTAATCGTCAAGTGTGCGGCGATGCCTCCGGCGCCACGGCGATATTTTTCTTTGCTACGCGAAAGCCACGTTGGAGAGGGTGTGACTCATGATGATATATACACGTATAAGTAGAATTAGGCGCGAAATAAAAGTTAAACTCGCGCTGGGAGAAGGGAGATATCTTTCGCGTTTCCACGTGTGTAAGCCCGAAGGAGATATACCTATTTATTCGCACGGGGAGACATTTTTAAGCCTCGTATTTTAGTTTTGTGTCATTTAGGAATTAACATTAATGTACTTGATATTTTGAGTTTGAAAGAACTTTTCTATATTTATTGGTTTATTATCTACGCAGTATTAAGTTTGATTCATAACTACTTTTCTCAATTTTTCTTTTGAATGAATCGAGTATGAAATAATGTTTGAAATTAAAAACAATCTAATTGTAGGAGCCGTTCGTCGATTACGTATAATTAGGCATGAAACGCCAGCCAGCTTGACTTGAAAACGAGCGTGTCTGCATTAAGGTGCGCCATACCAGAGTTTAATCGGGCTCATAAATAACGTTTTATCGAAGTGGCCCCACCGCTGCTGCCAGACCACTAATTGCCGATGATTATGGACAGTTCTCTGTTTTCTTTTTTCATTTCGCTGAATAAAAGCGTGGAAAAATAGGGGCTGCGTTTCCATACGAACGAGTTGATTTACTCGTCGAATGATGCTTTTGGCCGAATGACTCCGACACTGCCGCAAGCTGCTGCTACTCGTTATTTCGTTTTATTCCGGTACGTTTCATTCATTTTTTTCCCTCTGTTCCTCTCTGATTTGCGTGTTTTTTTTCATCCACCCGTCACTCGCATTTTTTTTTCAGAGGTCGCATTGCCGCTAAATCATCGGTGTCATTTTGCTCGGCCAAGCGCAAGTGGCGATTTAATCACATTACAATCGTTCGAGTGAATTTTTGATATGGTCGAAAAAAAAGTTGGCTAAACAAAAGAAAAGTTTTGCTATGGTGATTTTGGATTTTAAAGATCGAATCGTCATCGCACGGTTGGTCTTTTATATTGATCGATGTTTGAATGATAGGAAAAATGTGCTCGTGCTTATCGAGGTTGTTAATTGAAGTGCGTTTTTTTCACTCTTTGATGAGTTTCAAATATTTTTTTAACAAAGATTTAAAATAAATACGAGGAACATACGCGAAGTTAATAAAACAGTAAAACATTTTGAGAGAGAGAGAGAGAAATTCAAAGTCAGCGAAAAGCTCACAACAGGCCATAATGCAGCTTTATCTTGCGAAAAGACGGCGTCGGCGGCCGAGTTGGGCGGTATCGCGTTCTCCCTTGAATACACAATAAGACTCGTGCGCCAGCAGCAGCAGCAGTATTGCTCGAGAGCTCCTTGTAAAACACAAAGGGCCGCGTGTATGATTGGTAAATTATTGAGGCCCTTTCCCCAATCACGTAGCGACCTTAAATATTACAAAGTAGGCGATAGAGGTGTGTTATATCGACGCGCGAACGCCTGAATTTACAAATGCCGATGGAATATCTTATGGCCGTTCGATGTGCTGCTTCTTGCACTCTTTCTTTTTCTTTTCTTATTCTGAATTATAGACTGATTGAATTGCTAGGCGTGCGATCTATCGATAGCTTCAACTCCCACATCATCATTTAATCTTCCAATACGAATGGAGAGAATTCTGAATATGAATTTATAATGTGTTATGATTTGATAGAGTCGAAACAATCTATATTATTTTTCTTTTTTTTACCTTAAATCATCTACCAATTTGTAGATTTTCTAGCGGTAAAGATAATCAAATTAACTACTGCAAATCAAAGTGCATGACATAATAAAACGAGATAACCTTTATATATTAATTTTATGTTTTTCACCGATGCCTCATGATGACGTATGGAACGTAAATGTTTTTGGCACATCTTGTTGAAAAAAACTATTTACGGACGGTAAGGTTGAATAAACAAAACAGTTTACGTATTAACATCGAAATAATTTAATTCTTACACTTTTATAGTTCATAATAATTTTCCATGATAAAAACATTTTGATACAATAATCCTACTGCAACACATGATTTTTCATCGCATAGTTAAATTGCTCAGTCAACGATAATAACGGGCTCGATTACGAAATAAACGTGTATAATACATATTTTAATCTTACTGAATAATCTATCTTGTCGCTGGAATAAAAAAACTACAGAACTTACTTTTTTATCACTATAGCGTAGATGAGCTTGAACGTGACGTGGGTTATTAAATTTTATTAAGTACGATTAAACATTAGGAACGTTCGTGCGTATACTCGTTCAGCAATACAGAGGAAGCATTTTTAGTAAGTTTACAAATTTATACTCATCGTACCGTCGAGACACAAAGCACAAAACATTTTCACTTTTCGGGAATGCCTTACGTATTACACCAGATATGCTATATCAGATTTGCCGAATGGAAAAATTCAACTACGAATATACAAAACTATGGTACAAGTCACGATAACAACTTAAATGTATTTGACGAGATATTGTAATTTTTTTACTCTATACAAGTATCTATTTTTTACGTATAAATATTAATTTCTAAAACTTGGATTAATCCGTCCTTTTGGCTTGAATTTATATCGTAATATTCAACTCCTTTATTTTTCATTTTCAAAATTTATCAGACGCAATCACAGGTGTGTAACTTAACTGGAAAAGCATAAAAAACATGCCATACGCTAAACGCATTCAAAATCTCTGGCCGATCGCGCAGCGAGAAATAAAGCATCCCCGAAAGAGCGAAACTTTAGGGCATAACTCAGTCTTGTTATCTGACTCGCAAATAAGGCGAGACCGAGAGAGAAAGCGCGGCACAAAAGTTCGCGACATCAATCTGGCCTTTTTCCGGACGCCGAGATTCGAAGTTGAAACAATGCTCGGTCGACCCTACACAGAACTCTTTACTGACGTATGAGCCCCATGGGGGAGTTTCGCCTGCTATGCACCGGCACACGTTGATTCCATCTTTCAGTCTTGTCGAGGCTAGCCTTGCTTTATTTCAATTTTTTTAGCGGTGTCCTTTCGTTTGAATGCGTTTATCGATTGTTGACCAACATGGCGGAGCGCGCGCCGCAACTAACCATCCTAATGTTCATTGTCAATGGAACTCAGTCTCGCGCTTTCGCAAAGATAGAAGCGGGTATTTTTTTCCTTGAGTGAAAACCCAATCTAACGATGCATTTATTTTGTAAAAACACTGCAATTAAGAAAGAAATGTGTCTGTGCTTTGTATTCAGTACAATATTCGAGAATTATCTAAAGAGCACCAAAGTTTTCCTTTTTTTTTCCTTTTTTTTTCTTTTTTCAGATCGACGACTAAACTTCTACTCGGGTATCTATCTACAGAGAGATTTACGTGCATAAAGTTTACTCGGTCTACTTTAGCGGACGAAAATTACTCTTGTACAATCTATCCTCTAAGTCGCTTTCGCTGAATATTTTTTTCTTTTTTTTACAAAAAGCATGTACTTTTCGAGACTTCTCGTGCGATTGTCAGCGATTAATAATGCCCAAATCTTACGCAGTTTTCATGGTGAAACTGCTGGGTTGACACAGCCCGCGGTAGTGTATGATGTAAAGAACGAAGTATATTTAACGCGATCGACGAAATTAGGACTCTCGAAAAGTACGCGGATTTTGATATCGCTAATAAAAGAATCTGGCGCTCGTCCTTTGGCTCGTTCGTCGGGTCAGTCTGCTTTACTTGGTCTGTCATTTGGCCTCGTAGCCGGACGGCTGCGGGGCACCGATGCCGTTGAGTACAGGCAGCGATCCGAGGGCAGCACTGTGGCCACTGGAAGAGGTTGGTACCGGGTAGCCGTTGTGGCCGCCTGGCGTCGTGTCTATTCCTACGCCGCCGTTCGCTTGCCGTTGTGGTCCGCTCGTCGGCACCGTCTGTAATCACGCGCAAAGTCAAATATTTAGCGACAGAACTGGAGAGTCGACTTTTTGAAAACTGTGACGCGGGAAAGTTGGATCTGATTTGTGGGAAATGTGACCTATCGATGGGCGAGGGAATGCTCTAAAAATATAATTTGGCCGCTAAAACTTCGGCTTAAAATTGATGGATATATTTGGTAAATTGGAGTAAAATAATAAATCGGTGGAAAGGTGTGCGCCAAGATATAATATAGTCAGTTCGTTTAGCTATGTGAGCTCTGATTGGATTATTTTACATTATCGAGCGCCACAGAGAGAGAGAGAGAGAGAGAGAGAGAGAGAGAGAGAGAGAGAGGAGACTCGTAAAATATTCAAAATTAGATTCTCGTTAAGCGGGCGGTCGCTGCGTGCCGCTCTCCATATAATTTCCATGCAAAAATTAAAAAGTTAAAATAGCAACACTTCTGCGCGCGCCGCCGCCACCGCGCTTTTAATCTGCTGAATACATACAAGGGCGGAATATAAATTTGGCGCGGGCCGATTATGCAAAATACTTTTTGCCGGTCTCTACGCCGTGCTTTTACAATCGACCTTGGGCGCTGAATTTACTTGTTTCGCGCGATGTTGAAAAGAATTACACTTGGCTTCCGCCGTTCGGCCAAGAGCAACTTACCATCGTACCTCGCGAGCGTCTCTCTCCACTGGAAAATGATAAAGAAGAAAGTTCGTTGAAGCCCAGCTACTTCAGCTTGTTCACAGCTGCTAATAATAATGAATCAAGCTGGCTACGAGTCGGCAACTCCATTGGGGCGAGCTAATTTGCGAGTTCGATCGTTCGGTCGTTGAAAACTGGCGGAATTTATTATTCACAGCAGCAGCAGTGGGAAGAAGTCGCGTAGCGTAAGTTCGTCATCCGATTCACTTTCCGTTTAACGCCTCTTCTTCTAAGAAAAGGAGAACTTAAGGTCCCCGCGCGAACGAACTTGTAACTCTGCCGACGGATCTCCGCGCCACTTTCGAAGTCATATTTATGTTGAGTTCGTGCGAGCACGAGGGGCGAAATTCCGACGAGAGCGAAATAGGAAAGAGGAGGAGCAGCTCAATGTCTGTACAAGTCTGCTTGTGGGTCAAGTCTGCTTTTCATTTATAAATTGATTATTGATTGGAAAAAAAATCAGCAGCTGCGTTTAAACCCTCAAGACTTTTAAACGGATTATAAGTCGACTGGATAGAGTCATTCAAGAAAGAATCCGCTCAAAGAGAAAATCGAGCCGCGAGTGTTTTTTGCCTATAAATCGATTGGCTACATCCGCTGCATTCTTAAGCGAATTGAGAGTGGAAAAGCGCGCCGAAGCGCGAGGAATTAAGACAAGGAGAAGAGGGCAAAGACAGCCGCTACTTCGGCAAAACTTTAAACTTAAGAACTCGAATCCTCTCGCTCACCGAAGAGAGAAAGGTGTTAAATAATACAGGCTTAAAATTCGCCGTACGTTCGTGCGCAACTTTCCTCAAAAGCTCCTGTATAAATTTATTCTAGTGAAGATGGCTTCGAGTTCTCTGTGCTCAATTACCACTAATTTTGGTATTTTGCAGAGTGGCCTTCAAAATTGCTTTTCTTATCTTTCTGACACGTTAACATTTTGCTTCGTTATCATTTTATTTTCAAAAGCATCACTGATGGTTGAATTTACTTTTACTTTTTATCGCTAGGTGACAACATTTTCATTACGGTGGAAATTATTATTTTTCTATAATGCAGTTCCACTATAAATTTCTACAGATATACAAGCTAATCAATATTTATGCTCAAGTAAATATTAATCATTGCGTAAGTACATCAGAAACACTAATAAACGGATTATTTAAAAAAATTACTCGGACACAATACCAATTTATTCAGTACAGTAATGTCTTCTGAAAAAAAAATTTTTTAAATGCAACTTTTGAAAATGAACTTGAATTACAAGAATAAATAATTGAACAATGGGAGTTTAATATTATGTTTAAATTTTTTTTCTGGAAAAATTATTAAAGTCAAGGAGTTAAAATTGATTCGCAGTATCTTTATAGTACGAACTTAGCAATTCTTATAAAAATTGTAATGTCTTTTGTAAGACCATTCATTATTTTGTATATTTATGTGTACATGTACATAAATTTAATTGTAATCATTAGATCAATAATGGACAAAAAGCGGTTCTTTTCTTTTTGAAATTTGTGTCTTAGAGAATCATTAGAATGGTGTTTTGAAACGTTTTTTACTTTATGCCAATTTTTTAGTTTTATTTTACGTAGCCAGATGGAATAATTTTTACTGCAATGAAAATTGTCAATTGTCGATACTTATAATGCTTGTATTGCGTACATTTATTTGAACATAGCATGGACTTTACTACCTTTTTTAGCTCAAATACATTGTAGAATAAAATAACGAAAATGTTAAAATTATGTTCTGTTTCAGATCAGATTATAATCAAATAATCGGAAATAAACGAAGGTTGTAATATTCAGTTACTGAAGAACTTCTTATCCTGAAGAAAGGTAAGATTTTTCATTAAACTTTGGCATTGTTACTAATCTCATAATTACGAAGCGTTTTATGAAAACGAACGTTTGAATTTGAAGCGACAATCCCTCATTCGAAGCGTCCAGCCGCAGGTTCAAAAGCCACCCCATAAATCCCTGAGCTTGCTAGTGGGCTCTGGCAATCGTAGATAAAAGTCGAATAAGTCATAGACTTAAACTCTCTCTCTGTGTCTGTCTCTCTTTTTCTCTCTGTCTCGCTCACGGATTCCTTAATTACACGACACGCAGAAAAGGGGTTCCATTCTCTCGCTCGTTCGCCGACGGATGATAAAGCGTTGAGCTTTACTACTGCTGCTGGCCAACTGGCCATCCGTCATTTTTTATCTCGCGGTTAATTATACTGATTATACCTGCGCCTCTTCATTAATTATTTCTAACAAATGGCTCTTCTTTCGCTTTTTTCTGTTCTTCTTTCGCGCGATATTTTAATTAACTTGGCTCGGATTCATTTGTTTTGATTAAGATGTAATTTAATGTTGACGCGCGGAGCACCGTTTATTTGCTTTTTCAACAAAATCGAAATGATTTGGTAAACGGTCGAGTGCAAGCACGATTCTTCACACCCGTAATTACCGTGGCGAATTGCCCTCTCCATTGTTCCTTTCGAAAAATCGACCCTCGGAGGTTAATTGAGTTAGCGCGCGCGCGCGCACGAGGAAAAACTGGCCCTTTAGAAAAACTGTCGAAAAGGCGTTTCTCGCTCGACATCAATCGTGCCCGCAATGCCCTCGACCATTGGGGGCTACTTTTTCAAGTTACGACTCCGCGCTGCTCTCAACGAAGTGGCGATTCTCGCGAGCCAGCCCCTATCCCAGCAACTTGAATGGACTCGGCTTTTATTCCTCGAGAATTGTTATGGAAAGCGCTCGAGAAAGCATTTATTGTTACTATTGTTAGGTGATAATGCCGGGCGAGAGAGCTGATCGATTGTTACGATTCAAAAATTGTAGCTCTGATCGCGAGCGAAAGCGATAGGCGACTCCATTGGGTCGCAAAGACCAAGTCATTTGATTAAACGCCCAAAAGATTATTAAATGCTCCAACGATGTCATTACTTGTTGTGCAAGCCCTTAGCCGAGCAAGTCTATCAGCAATGAATGCCCTTATCAATTTCGCGCACAATGCGATCGCGAATACGTACCCGCTCGCGCAGAGTCGATACCCGATAGCCATTTCACCGCCATCAATTCTCACCATACTACACACCTACGCTTTTACGCTTTTACCGCTGAATCGCGTGTCGTTTGCTCGTCGGAAGCGGCAGGTGTTCGTTCGGCTTGCTGCTAAAATTAGCAGCGGAGCCTCGCAGGTGTGCTGCTGCTGCTGCTTCCCAAGAAAAGAGGAAATCGAGCGAGACGTTGTTAGGAGGGCTTTTCCTGCCGAGCGCAATTCATCTCGAGTGAATTAACGTGGAGTTTCAAATAACAGAAAACAAAAGTCATTATGACGGCTGTGTCAGAGATCGCAGAAGGGAGGGAAGTTACAAAGAATAAGAAAAAGAAACAACGGACTACTAGTTGTTGGATTAAGTGTGGGTTTCCTTAGCTAACGAGGACGTGCTGTAGCATGGGACAGCGTGCTAATCGAGAGAGAAACGTGTTCGACATTAACTGTCTGTCCCTGACGTGCTATTGATAGGTCGTTTACTCTTTACTTTGGTGTTGCAAGGACAATCCAAAGCTATATCGCGCTTTGTTGCCCTATAGGACGGATTTTAATTAACAGATAATTGTCTTGGATGGCTCAATTTACTCCAAATGAGTTACGTGGTTTGTGTAAAATCATTTGCGTAATCTAACTTGCTCGTTATCGATCACCTTAACGGTGCAATAAATGGAAATCAAGCCCGCATAGCTTGAAGCAAGCAAAGAAAAAGAACGAGTCGTGAATGCCAGAAAAGATAAGCCGGTCGGGCCATTAGGTAACTCGATATATCTCAACAATCGCACACAATAAATCCACGACTGCTCAATTGCACCTCGAGCATATATCACTCACGCAAAGGCCATTAACACGTATGTGTGTCTGCGCGCGCGCACGCGTTCACCTCACGGCTTACGGCAGGGGCGCGTGCAAGCACAATGTGCTCCTTAATGAGCGTATCATGCCAGATGAAGCGAGTGCGTGTGGTAAAGTTATGAGATCTCGACGTTTACGCCACGTGAAAACTTCATGAAGGGTGGAAGGTACATACACATTTCGTTTGAGACGCTCAACGTTTCGTTTGTGTATATAATGTAAGGAACTTTGTATGGAGCTTGTAGAAAAGCACTTGGCTACTATCTTACGTTTAGATGGACAACAATTGAAATTAATCGATGTAATAACAAATAACTGCATGGTGCGTTATTTGTTTTTTTTTTAATTTTTTTTTAAACGTATTTTTATTTTTATTTTTTTTGGTTAGAGAAAATGACAATAAGTACATTGTTTTTAGGTTCAGATTAGGCATTTCACTATGAGAGAAGATGATATATTAAGCAATTTAAATAAGTACTTTGGTTATGAGGCTTTTCGACCTGGACAGTTGCCTATCATTCTCAAAATTCTCGAGAAAAGAGATGTGATTGTTTGTAAAGAAGCTGGCTTTGGAAAATCATTATGTTTTCAGTTGCCTGGTATAATGAGAGAAGGACTTGTCGTGGTTTTCAGCAGTTTGCCATCACGTATAGAACGAAAATGTCAGGAATTATCATCAAAAAAAGTAATTATACTTGCTCATGAATAACGACACATTTTTACGATGATTAACTTGGGAAGTTTTTATCATTCGTTTTGCAGCTAAACTGTGCCTACTTGAACAAAATTATGTGTAATAATCAATCGATTTCTCAAGACCTTAGAAATGTTATAGAGAGTAAGAATAAATTTTGGGATGATTTACGATCTATCAGAACTTCAGGCCTCAAATTTCTATATGTAACTCTCAGTCATTTCAAAAATTCAACTAAATTGAGAGAGGTACTAGAAGATATTTATAGGAAAAATATGTTGCAAGCTATAGTCATCGATGACATTAATTATACTTACCAATGGCTTTCCTCGTTCAAACGTGATTATTCAAAATTAGGTTTACTTAGAGAAATATATCCGAATACCGCTTTTTTGTGTTTCATTGGGCCTACGAGTCAAGATAAGTTTTTCATAGTGAAAGATACCCTACATCTCAAAAACCCATACATGTAAGTGGCTAAATTTGCATTTTCTTTGTATATATTGTGCAAATGATAATCCATATCATTATAGGCTCAACGAGCCTTCTACGATGATCAACCTTTCTTATCAGGTAATGTACATGGATGAAAGCATACCCACTTTAAAATTGATTCAGTTTATAAAGGAATCTTATCATGGAAAGTCTGGGATAATATATTGTTTCAATAAGGATGATTGCCAAACATTAGTTGAAAATCTGAAAATAAATGATATTTCAAGTATACTTTACACATGTGAATTAACAGACAAGCAAAAGGATTGGATAAAATACAGAAACGCAGACGGGGTAAATCATCTTTTACTATGTTAAAATTTAAAAATGAAACGTATTTTTCCAAATGAATAAGTTAAATTTAATGATCACTCTGTCTGCCTCCAGATAGTGATAGTTTGTCTTTCTGGATTACCTGTAGATTTGAGCTTAATAAAAATTGATTTCACCGTGCATATGCGCATACCCATTGCCTTAGATATTTACATTGAAGAAACTAGTAAAGTAGGAAAATATGGCACTGAAAGAAATAATATCGTGCTCTATAGTAAAACTGATTCACAATATCATCTTAACTTGATGACTAATCCCTTCAAAGAAAAAATATCTAAAGCTATAGATATTGAAATAAAAAGTTTACTGTTAGATGAATTGAGAGTTTATAGACAGGAATTGTTTGAAGTGATTTTATTCGCAGAAAATCAGTCGATATGTCGTCAAGTATTAGTGCTAAAGTATTTAAACGACGAAAACGTAGTTGAACCTTGCGGAATATGTGACGTGTGTCTTGTTATGACAGAGTCTTTTGTCATTGATATGTCATATTCCTTGAAAAAGATATTGATGGCTATATGGGTTATCAATAGATCTCAAAATGGTGTTAAAAGCGATAACTTTATTTTTGCTGGCATCACGTTTCTTATAGATGTATTATTAGGACGTATGGGCGAATCGATGAAAATCTTTACAGGTCAATTATCTGATAATTGGATTTTCGGATTATTCGGTTCGTGGGATTCAAACATATTGTATATACTGATTATTGTTCTATTAATACAAAAGTTTGCGTCAGTTAATCTTGTAGCCAACGATGAGTTTGCCGTTCATCAAAATTTAGTCATTACTAATAAAGGTAAACAATTTGTCGAAACAACACACGAGGTAATTATTTTTTGGGTGAATATAGAATTTTAGTGATCAATTTCACGTTTATTCAATTGAATAATTATGATTTTTTCAGTTTGGTATTCCATTTTCATGCAAAGATGTGAAGATCACTAAATGGTTTGATATAAATTGGGTCGAAAATCAATTTATAAAAGATTTAAAAACAATTATAACTTATTATTACAAAAGTTATAATCTTGAGCACGATTATTATTTCCACAATTACTGTATCCATTTGATTTCTATGGTGCAAAATACAGAAGAAGTAACACTAACAAAGCTTAAAAAATATAAGTTTCAGCCTGATGAAAATCAATTACACGGATACGACCGTGACTTGTTTATTAGTTGCTTAATGTATCATCGCATCCTCACAAGTAACATCATGCATTAATTTAACTGAATATCATTTTTGATATATTTAAAAATGAAAAAAATTTATGCTTAACAGTTTATTTTAAAAAACATGTCTTTTAGGCTTAAAGAATGGAGTTGGGAACAATAAAGCAACGTAAAAAACAGCATCGTGCGGAACATAACAATTACGTATTACAATCTCTGAAGGGATTTAACGACGATGAAGTACAGTACCAAAAACTCATGAATTCACGATATAATTATATGAAAAAAGTATGTTATGATGTTGATTTGAATCCACTATGCAAGTTAATAATAATTTGATAATTCTAGTGTTCATCGCCAGCTGCTGAGATCGGTATTCACTTAATCGATGCTATAAGTATAGAAGATTCATCGACGAGAGCTGAACCAGTTGCGAAGTCTGTTTTGAGTCAAGAAACATTCAAAAGTTCAGAAAAAAAAATTGATAGAAATTTTGAAGTTATCAATGTCAGTGATTATAGAACATATGACGATGCTGTCAAAAATAGACACAGAAATACAGAACGAAAGATTGTTGCACGAACGGAGATGAAGAACAATGAAGTTTAGTTTACTATCATTTTGTTCCAACAATCTGATTGATTTTTGAACGTTTTACGTTAGTTTTTAGTTATTATTTGACTACTTGTTTTATTTGATCAGACAGTATGAATTATCTAGGACAATCAGATATTGTATAGTCGCAAACACAATATTTGTCAAAGTAGTTGAAAAAGAGAATTAAAAATCTGCGAGATGGGGATCAGCTTTATGTATTGGAAGTTTCTTTTACTTTTCTGAAAAAAATATTTCTATTAGTGTAAGAATGTAGTGCAGTCACCATATCACATGCTGATATCTGTATCTAAAAGTGATTTTATACCTTGAAATTTTTAATGCTTTAATTTGAATTGTTATCCTATCCAAATGTTGTCTCAGATATTGTGACTCTAACGATCGACAGTGAATATACTGCATTTTTGAAAAATCCGACTGTGTCTTGAGATTATAAATGGAAATTCATTGCAAAGCTCCATTGATCCTCTTACAGCCAACGCCGCTGATCCCCAAGTGACATTATCATATTGTCCTTGTCATCGTCTATGTTGCCGAGGGAAAGAATCCGTTGGATAATGATCGAGTAACTCGCTTTTCCGTATTCTCTTGTGGGCGGTGTATGTTTGTCGGCAATATAGGCATGGTATCGCATTATCGAAAATAACATAATATCGTGCATAATATAGATAGCAGTTTATTTTTATTGTGTATTTATCAGATTGCAAATGAAGAAACCATGGACATTTACTTTCTTTTTCATTTGCTTAATGTGATTGGTTTTTTCGTAAACGAGATTTACATACACGCTCACAGTTCGTCGAAACCGTGTTAAATTCAAAACAATTTCATTATCGTTACGAAGAATCCAGTTTAATTTACAATATTTCAGAATAATGAAATGAATTTCCATGATTCAAAACTGATCGTGAGTTTTATTATCGAGCAAAAAAAAGCTCGATTGATTGTTACGTTAATTCGCTAGCGAAACGTGTCACTCCTCTTTCTCTCTCTGCTTCACGGTACTTCCAGGTCTTTATGTGTATACTACTAAATACACTACGGCAAGAAAATTACCTATCAATGAAGCTAATCGGTTTTCCTGACTGACGGAACACGTGTGAGTATTTATGTTTCTCCGATACATAAGGAGAGGGGGGAATAAAAACGCTTACAATTTTCTCTTTTATAGAGATGTAATAGCTTGATAAATGAGTCACTCTTGTTCCGCGGAGCTTCAAATTTGACTTTTTTTTTCTAGAGAAGAGCGTGACAAGCTTCTTGGGTACTTTTGAAGGCCAGCGTCAAGAGCGAGGGATCTCGTCGGGCTTAGGGTAATAGATGCCCGGCAACATTAGCATGCCGTTGCGCGATTATTGGCATTAAAGCCCCCGACGGCAATGACGTGCCCTTTTCGCAGGAGACTGCGCGTCATTTATAACGGCCGATCTCCGTGAGAACGTCTCTCTGTGTTTGTATAATCTAGCGTGACAAATATTTGTCGTTAAAAAGCAGCGAAACAATCGTATTCTCCGCCGGCTAGGCAAGTTGGCGAATAACAAAGTAGCTCAACTGCGCGACTGACGCTTAACACGACCGATATTAATTAAGCCAAGACAAACACGCACTTCGCTCGAGGAAACGCCGTGCCGTCGCGCGTTCGACGAAGGGGTTAATGTACACACACGAAGGTAGAGAGAGAGAGAGAGAGACCTTTAATGCATTTGCATATCGTAAGTAGAGCGCGCCAGCAACGCGCTCGCGATACTATCGTCTCGCTTACTTCGCATTCGAGCCGAACAGGAAGTTTTTTTTTTCTTTCCGTCGCTCAGGCAAGTAGGGAAAGTAATTTGTGCGACACGATCGGTCACAATCGATTCTTTATTTCGATCATTGGAACATTATCTCGGAGCTTGTTGATTGGTCGGTCGGGAATAAAAAAAGAGAAAAAATCCCAGCACGTCCTTGCGGAGTACGATGCAAAGTTGGCTCGCGCGCGCGCGGGGGGTAGTATCGCGTTGTGAAGCTCATGGTCGCCGGTTTAATCGCGGGCTGTCGGTAAATAATGCAGGCGCGCTGGCGCGCGCTCGCACGTACACACACGTTGCCAATTTGCGGCTTCTGGCGCCGCAACTAACCTGGCACGCGAGTAGTAAGGGGATTCCGGCGAGCGAGCGGGAGAATCGCATTTGCCTGCGTGTGCGAAATCGTTTAACCTCATGCGGAAAGTCACTGTACATGTGAGTCACTGCACTCTTGATGCGATCTCTTTCTTTCTCTCACCACCGCAAGCTGTAAATTAATACGCTGCTTCGTTGCTACTTTTTCTCTGTTCTTTTTTTTCTATTTTTTTTTTTTTTTTTTTTTTTTGAAAAATTGCCAGGTCTCTGCTCGCCAGATGGAAGGGAGATTAGACACCTGGTTTTCCGTGTTTCGCGCGAGCAATTTAAATTCCTGCTCGCTGATTCTGATCTCGTAGATGCTCGCCCATTCATTGATTTGTTTTTTTTTTTCCGCGCTCCTCGAGGCCTCGATGATAATGAGCTCTCGCAAACCGAGTGCCACGGTATAAACTGAAAAAAGTGGCGCGCGAACGAACGAAACGGCTGGCGATGCTGCGCGCGGCACTCTCCCTCACTCCGGTCTCGACGGGATTGCCCGGTATTTTCCGATAAAGCCTTCGGCAGCGGTAGCGAGCAAAGCAGCCGCGGTCTATGCGCGGATCGTTAAGGCACGCGACAACAACACACCGAGGCGGTGGCTCGGCTTTAAAGCGCGCGCGGCCGAGCTTAATTAATAAGGACACGCGATATCCCTACCCTGTCCTCCTAAGACTCTAGTCTGTTCTCCTCGAAGGAAGAGAGCCTCGGGGGAGTCCTTTGTTGTCGTGAAGGGGTCAGACTTCTGCTACCACTTTGCCTTAAGGGGTTAACGTCGCCTTATATCCCAACGGGGATCCTCTTGCGCGCGCGCGCGCGCCCGCGTGCACATCTATCTTTATCGCCGCGAAGATCCCGTAATCTCTGCCACGGCATTCAAAAGCTGCGGGAATCGCAATCGTGTCGAGAGTACGTCGTTTTCCTCTTGAATACATGCTCTTTAATGAAAGAAAAATACGGCTTCGAGTCGTGACACGTCGTCAGTGGCCATTCAATCGGCAATACGAAAGTTGCGTCACGACTCGAAGAAGCTTAGCTAATTGCCTGAGATAGGTAATATTTAAACAATCGTTGAATCGAATTTTGGCTCTCATTTGTCTTGTTCAATTCCTTTGTTTAAATCGTACCTGTGGCTGTAGGTTATTCACCTGTCGTTTGATCGCCGAGTGCAGAGCCATGTTTGCGAACACCAGTCGCTCCTCGTAGTCGTACTCGCAGAGAATTTTGTTGTCGCACAGGTAGAAGCGATCGCCCACGCAAAATCTGCAACAGGAGAGAGAGAGAGGGTGGTCGATGATTCGCAAACGAGCTAATAAATGCAAAATTCGGCTTCAGCCGAGCGAAGGCGTGCTAATTCCGTTTAGGCTCTCGGTGCCAAGGGGAATCGCGAGAAAATAAAAGAGAAACAAGCCGTTTCGGAGAGCACGGCTTCGGCCCCTCTGCTCGCGCAAACTGCAGAGACTTGGGAAGTTCTTTAGATGCAAATTCGACGAGCGACTCCCACGACACTCCGGAATACTCTTCTTCTCTCTGCCGCTTGTTCGCCAGAAGCTTAATCGGCTTGCGATAATTTCATGCTTTAATTGAGGCTGCTCATTGCCTACTGCGACTTTACTGTCCAAAGTTTTACCGTTCTTCGGGCCGTCGGGTTCTTTTCCCGTAGCGACGCTGCCGTTCGTTGCTCGAGCGAACGTCTGCGCGGGCGTTATTTTTAGAGATCGCTGCGCGCGGATGTGCGTGCAAAATTCTATTCGGAATTGCGAATTTAGAAGGCGACACCGCGGGCACGGAAGCGAATGATGCGGCGGCGCCGTGTGCCAAGCGCGCGAGCCAAGGGGCGAAGTACGTGCGCGGATTACGATATTGCCGCCGCGCGAGGCAACACATCCGCGCGGCCCTTCCTCTTTTTACAGGCGCGCAACATCCGCGGCGCCCTTAAAACCGTGGCGTGCTCTCTCCTTATTGCCGATCGTTCCCCGGTGAACCTCGCGCCGGACGAGAGTCCGACGGCCAGTTATTGGAAATGATGCAAATCACGTTTTTTAGTCGCGCTCTCTTCATTTTTATGCCTCGACGCTTGGCCCGCCGGCGCGTTCTCTTCGCGGTCGTCGGTTGGGATTCGCGGCATGCCCTGCAGACATCACTCTGTCGGCGTAGGCTTTGCAGCGAGAGAGAACGATAGGCGTGTTCGGGCGATTTGTCTTGCCGACGACTTTTTAAAAAGCTCGGGATTTCGGCGCCCACGCTTGAAATCTCAATCGGTCGGGCGGCGGCCTCCTTGGCCTCTTTTATTATGAATAATTCGTCGCTCGACCGGCGCGCAGCATCTCCATTGTAACTTCAAGTATCGCTTCGGAAATGTTGCACGTCCATCGCGCGAGGTTCGCGCGAGCTTGAGACGCGCTGCCGATATCTCGTTTAGCGCATCGTGAAATATTTATTCAAAAGACGGAAGGAAGAAAAAAACGGAAAGGAAGAAACGAAAAAGGGAACGGAAGAGATCCTCGGGACGGCAATGGTGAATAATAAAAGCGTATGCGCGTGTTTGGATTGTCTCGCGCTCGCACGCGAGTGCTTTATTCCGGCGCTTATGCTAATGCAGACGTGATTTTTTTCAGCACCTCGCCACCTGCGCCGCCGCGCGTACTAAACATTTACGGTCGCGAGTGGGACGAAGAAGGGAAAAAAACGAACGAACGAGGGGGGGAGAGTGGATTATTTCGCGTGCACGTGCCGCGATTTGCAGTGTCCGGTCAAACCACTGCCGCCACCGCCGCCGCGGGATTTTTATGTTTTTCTGATTGTCCGAGTTTGAGGCTGTAAAAGAAGCTGATGTTACGGTGGTTCCCCTCTTTTTTTTTTTTTTTTTTCATTTTTAGTATTCGGAGGGGGTGAAGCCGAATATTCACGTAACATGGTATTTCGTTTTCGATTGACTGTTTTGCGAAAAAAGAAAACGAAAAAACCAAGAGGTCAGAGATATCATCAGCTTATTTCACAAATAATCAGCATTAACGTGGGACGCTTTCCCGCGCATTATCTGGTAAAAGAGCAGCATTCAGCGTCGTAAATACAATCAGGCCCCGAAGCCAGAACATGCGCGCTTATCGTCCCTGAAGGAGAGAGAGAAAGAGAGAGAGAGAGGAAAAAATCATAATGTCATTTACGCGGTCGCGTAGCATTTTTACGGCGCTCGATCGTCGCTCTCGGCAAAGATCGATATTCCTCGTTTATTTTTTTTCTGCGCGTTGTACGGCAGGGTACTTATCGTAGTCCGTTATGAGGGCACATTGGCTTTTACGAGAGCGAGAGACAGAGAAAAGGGCTGCCTGTGAATTTCCAAGGATTCCTCTCTCGTTTGTAATGTTCGCGCTATGCGAATTGCAAGTGAGAAAGAGAGAGAGAAACGTGAGTCTGGAAAACATCGGTGCGAAATGTTACGAGGTTTTAATATAAGAGAATTTGAATGATAAGCGTCTTCGGAACAAAATTTATTTTGCGTTTGTTCGGCGCTCGTAACTAAAATAAAATTTAACTTTTTCGACGCCTGTATCTGAACAATAAAATCAAAGTTGGAAAAAGAAAAAAAAATTAATTGGTTTGGTTGAAAAATCCGCCATGCAATTTTTGCATAAAAGTTACTCAAACACTAAGAATTTGCGAACCGCGTACAATTTCTTGTCGCGGTGTCCGCAACCAGAAACAGAGGCGACGGCGTGCTTGAGCGTGAGATGAAAGCACTCAATCAGAGCAAGTTATTTTTTGCCTCGCGCGTATTAGCGCTCATAATTCAGGTATTGAAGCTAGTCTGGTGGTGCGGCTAATTTGCGCGCGCTCAATTTGCATCGCGCAGCGAGAGACACAATGCCACTCAAGATTCTCTGTGTTTGTCAGCCACGGCGTAACTCTCGAGGAGTCTAACGCGTTTAGCCGACGAGACTCGAAGCCCTAATCAGATCTCTCCCGGCGACGGCAGCAGCCCCGAGCAAGATGGATAAGAGAGACGCCGCCAACGGGAGCGGGAGGATGCTAAGTGTGCAAGTTAATGGAGTCAAGACGTCAAGCCTCGCGAGCGAGCGAACGAGCGAGAGAGAGAGAGAGAGAGAGAATGCCGCGCGGTACGTTAATGTGTCGCGCGCGAGCGACTGATTTGAAAGAATCAAAACACCGCGAGCGACTCGGCAAACGCGCGCGAACGCCGTGACACGGCTGACGGAGGCCGGATAGAGATTTACTTATTTACGAGGTCTGCCACGCGCGTACGTGCAAACACTCGCGCGCGGCTATGTCGCTTGGCCCTCGAGCTGCCGTCCTCGCCGACTGCCATGCGCCAATTTCCATTTGGCGAGACGAGCGGCGTGACGTTCGATCTCGCTTTCTTCGCCGGCCGACGGCTCCAGCATTCGTGCCGATGATTTAATCGATAAAACGTCAGCGTCACAGAAAGAGAAATTAGCCCGAGACGTTTTTCCCCGTTGTCGATATGCAAACTCGATTGAAATTCCGCCGCTTGACTGCCCCGGATTTTATCGGATTACGTTTCGTTGATTTCGCGACGGCGATGCGCGGCTTTCTTATGCATCAGCTTCTGACAATCCGCCAGCCAAGTCAGACATGCAAAAAGACGGTTGGATTGATATACCCAAAAGTTTATGAATTGTTTAGGCGAATCTTCAAGCGACGGGGATATTGTATCAAGTCGATATAATGCTGCACGATTGATGGACTCGTGACTCAGGCAGCTGAGGCATCTTTATTTAGAAATAGGAATATAAAATGACTAACCGACATTTTCCGAAGCGCCTTATTGCCGGTTTCTTTCGTGGTAAAGTATTGCTTGAAATTGAAATTTTATTGCCTGATGTGGTATTCAATATTGTCAGCCTGTTGTGTTACCTGTTGTATAATTATTACGTCCATTTCGGAAGACAACGCGCGCCGCGTTGCGCCCGATCGAAAATACTTACGAGAAGAGTAATTTACCAGCGAAATATTAATGCGCTCGTCGGACTAAAACAGGTAAATTTTACGTATTTCTCGAGGCCTCTACGTCTCTCAGGTTAGAATTTCCGTTTTTATCGACTTGGATGTTCAAACGATAACTTGATTATCGACGCTAAAAATAAATAACGACAGAAGTTAAAATGCTTGCGACTTCAATTCTGCAAGCAAACGAAGAAATAGTTCGTCACGATGCAATGGTGAGGCTGCGCGCAATCATAGCCACGCGACACACATCGAAATGCCATATCAACCGTTTATCGAAAGCCTCGTCTCCCTCTGAAGATCTGTCACAGCTCCTTGTCAAACGGTCCGTCGCGGGTTTCAAATGTCGGGAGCGCTTTGTGTTTCTCTAACGGCTGCTCCGTGAGAATCTTAGTGTTAATTACTCGGGCGGCTGTCGCAAGTTCGCTATCGGCGCCGAGTTAATTCGATCGGGAGTCGACGGTGTAAGACGACGACGACGACGACGTCGACGTCGACGTCGACGTTGAGGGAAGCCTTGGTATCTCCTCGAGACGCGCGTCGCGCACGAGCGATCCCGATTGTCACGGAATTGAACTGTGGAAGCGGCAGGGCAGCAGGAGTAATCGAGGGCCGGAAAGCAAAGGGGTACGATTCACTCGGTGCTCGTGCGCTTTTCACGCGTAACTGGGCCCCCATTGGATTGCCGTTGCCAAAGTATTTGGTCAAAGGGATCGCGCTTGCTACGAAATGGCGAAAACCTCCAAGCGAGCGAGCCTCGCGAACGCGTCGTAGATATAGACGTTGACACGGGCAAATGGCCAGACGAAGAAAGAGATTCCCTGAGAAAGGCAGCAGCGGAGTTGTAGCCGTAGATGACGAGCAATCGCATCAAAGATTATTTCCGCCAATAAAGTGGAGTTTTGCCGCAGTCTCTTACTCTCTTACTCTTCGCGCGGGCGAGAAAGAGAAAACGAAGGGAAGCAAGAAGAGTGGGCAATAAATCGCAGTCGCCCGAAGCACAGGCACTTATATCAAAGCTACTTTTTTTCCCAGTCCTCGGTCTCTTTTTTCCTCTCGTCTCGCTAAAGTTGAACACGCGAATTGTTTAATCGCACTCTGCATAATCCTCCCGCTGCGACTGCTGCTGCTGGTATCGGGGTCGCACCAGCCAACAGAGTTTGCCTTGTAAAGTCCGGTGGTTAGCCGAGTGCCTAGACATACGTTGGGAGGAGCGAACGCCCAAGGGATTAAGTATGACTTAGTAGCTAAGTTTCCGTCATTAGCTTACTCTCTCT